CTTGGTGCCATCATATGAGGCAGTGGGAAAAAACACTCCTCCTCAATGTTCTGCCCATACAACTGCTGCTGGGGCAATATTGAGCAGGATCTGAATTATTAGGTGGAGTGATCTGCTCTTTCTTTTTATCTGACTAAAAGCATCTTCACAGCTCAAAGAACTATGAAAATGAAGTGAAATAATAAGACCTCATTGCTGCATGTGTTGTTAGTGCTAGCGTCTATGCTTCAGCCAGTGCAGTTTGGGCTGAAGTGGAGCACTTGTGTCTCCTTTTTGGGTGGAATGCAGATGGGAGAAGGAGATGTAAATGAAGAGAGAGAAAATGAAGTGTCATGAACAACAGGTACCAATATCTGCACCTGTCCGGGTTGTCAGCTGGAAACCCAAGCTGGCTGTAAGCTACGATTATCACAATCTGCATGTATAAAATAAGTCACGATTTAACAAACATCCACATGATGTCAAGGTTAATAGTGCTGCATGCCCCACTCATCCCCTTCTCCCCACTGCAGCAACCCCAGCAAAGCATGCAAGGAAGGCTGGACCTCTGGAGGTCATCCCATTCTGCCCTTCTGTGCTCACCCCGAAAGCATATGCATTTTATGACTAAATAGATAACAGCTTCAACCTCAAGAATGGAGGATACCATTAAAAATGTATAGAATATTTACCAAACCTTCCTCTCTGTTAAGGCAGTGGGGAGAGGATAGGACCCTTTGCTGCAGTGTTTGTGGAACATTTATGTAGCTCCTGCTAGCAGCTATATGGGACACAGGGCCTGGGAGTGGTTTACCAGGGGTCTGCTGAAAAGTTTGGAGCCAGGTCTTGTATCTGCAATCTGGGGATGGCCTGAGGCTGCCACATGCATTTATATAGAAGGAAAATACTCAGTCTCGATTAAGCAAGGTGGGAATTTGCTGTTTCTTAATCCATAAAGCCGCTATCATTCACTATTTCCTTGTTTGCACAAGGTTTGAACAAAGTTTTCATGAGCTAAGAGAACTGGGGGCAGTTCAGCCAGGTCATTTCTTCACACAGGACAGAAAGTGTCATTATTAATCCAAGCACCACATGACTCTCTCCGACACCTGCATAATATGAAATAAATCTTTGTCTTTAAATAACCTTTCTTATATTTGTAAGTTTGTCTCTCAGCTCAATAATCCTGGGTTAAAACTGTGGCACTTTGAGGTCCATATGACGTTCTAGATTTCACATATGGCCACGTCTACAGCTGGTGTAGGACACTACAGTTTTCCTGAATCCAGATGAGTGCATTTCATCAAGTTCATGTGGGCTTGCTTGTTTTCCAAGCATTTCTTCTGGTTGTCCCATACTCGACCATTAATTTTTGGGGGGTTTGTACTCCCAGGAGTTTGAAAAATATGGAAATGCTGACATGCTGATAACCTGGTTTCTGTTAAGAAAGGAATAATAAATGTGTATTCTTTTACAAGCTGGGTTTTCTTGAAAATGTATTTAAAAATTATTGAAAACTTCTAAGTGTCACTTTAAGTGTGTTTTAAACTATGAGCAACATCAAAGAGTTGGAAAATGGATAGCTCAAAAATCAGTCATTTAAAAGTATCACCTGTAGTTAAAATAACAGGCTATTATTATGTGTGGAGTCAAAGAGATTTGGGAATAAAGGCTCTGTATATGGTGGAAGAAAAATAGCTTTTTAATTCTTTTACTCTGCACTACTGGTTACTTATATTTTGGGTACTATATATTCATTCTTTATGTTCTCTGCAAAATTAGATTTGGGATTAAGCAAGAAGTTCAGAACTGACACACAATAACTAATGCGCTACAGACTTCTTCAATCTGAGTTTCTGTTGCTGTGTAAGCGTTTAGAGCATTCTCTTCCCCTCTGTCCCTTTGTGGAGCCAACCTGGTGTCAATCTCACTCGTGGCAGAACTTGCCAGAGATGTGTCTGTATGTCAGAAACTTACATTGAGTGAGGCTTCAGCTACTACTAAACTTTGCTTTGGGTGTGTGCACTAGTATCTCAGCAATGCACGGCACCAGGATGATGGTTTATGTCATGCTATTTAAGGCATCTAAACTCTCCTGTTTAGCAGCTAGATGATGTAATTGTCCTGTCTGCCTTAAAAATTGATCAGACAATGAATGCGTGTGCTGGCACGTAGGCTACTTACAAATGGCTGGCCACCAATAGTGTTTGGTGTGCTTGATATTCCTAATTTACTACTTTGATTGTTTGGGGTAGATGCTGAGATCACATGGCACATACTGGTTCTTACACTGGGTAGATCTAATTCCTTAAGTCGGGTCTCTGGATTGAATAATGGCAAATGATGACTAGCTTAATAGCCTCCTTGAGGGGAGTATTCAATATTAGTCTCTACTACATTCCTGGTATAATTGCTTGCCGGAATATTCATGTAAAAGCAGCAATGCTGCAGTCAAAACAAATCAATTTTCAGGGTCTGACCTGATATTTATAGATGATTTTTGTTGCATTTCTGTCTGAACGAGTACAAGGTGACACAGTAATTCTGATGTATATATGCTATAGTACATCATCTGATAATCAACACATGTTACACATGGCATGATAAACACGAGAGCTCAATTTAGGTTGATGAATGGATAGCCCAGAATCTGTGGAATTTTTGGAGGCTCGAGAGACGTGTTATACAACATTTGGAAACATTTGACCCTCCTGGTGTTTTATGTTTCTGCGTGCCACATTCATGTGAGGAGGGATCTTTGGAAGGAAGAAGGTAATGGAGAGATGGCAATCGCATCTCTTGGAGGTTATACCTCTGGGTGCAGGCCAGCTGGATGGAGGTCAGCAAGACCGAGCCTTATCTCAGCTTGAAACATGCATTGGTTTTAAATGTCCTCCAGTTAACTTTAACTCTTTAGCTTGGAAGGCAACAAAGCAGCAAGGGCTGATGGACCCTCCAAGCTGAACTATCTGGAGGTAGCAAATATCCATTTGTACTGAATTAGGACCAATTCAGACACTGAAGATAGAAAATATTCTATTACCTTTAAGAATCAAGCTTTCAAGGGAGCACTTGGTGATGATTTTCCTCTTTCTTTTGCAGTCCTGATAGGGGAAGTTTTCCATGTTTAAGAGTGGGAACTTGAGATGAGGTTATGGTATGTGTGGGAGGGAGATCATTCTTCTACCTTTGTCATGCATGGTCTGTGGAGAAGCTGTGCCCAGCTCTTATTTATGGTTCCTTCGCTGACTGAAAGCTATAAAGCAGCTGCACATTTTCAGAGAGAAAATGTTATCTTTCCATTTACCTCAGATTCGTGTAGTCAAGCAGCCTGAGCATAAAGAGGTACCTGCTTCTGCGTGAGGCAATAGGGATCTTCCTTAGGAGGGTTATTCCCTTAGAGTGACGAACAATATGGACAACAGCTCAGTCTTATCTGTAGCTCAGTAACTGTCGTGCAGTACCTGATTTTGAATAGCTGTCAAGATGCCTTCTTTCTGCAAACCTGAGAAGATATAAACCATGGGAGGAGTGTTTAAATACAATATATGTATATATATTTACATACATACAATGAAAGAGAAGAAGGGAAGGGGGAAAGAGCAAAAGAACAAGTGAATACCCAAAGCATTTCAGGATCCTTCAGGATGAAAGGTGCTACAGAAATATATTATCCCTATTACTTTTATCAATAATACAATATTGCCAGCTCACTTATTTCATTATAGTCCCATTGCAACACTGATGTTGTTACCTGGCCTATTATAAAACAGACTGGAGGTTAGTTTTGTCTTTCGCTAGGAAACCCACTCTGAGAACTGTAGCTAATGTGCCTCAGAGTGACAGAACAAGTATGTTTTATGAAGCCAAATAAAAGTTTGCTTCATCAACTGCTGCAGTGTATAAACAACTGTCAGCCATCTTGGGGAGGAGACATCCTTTTATTTAACTGCAAATTAAAAACCATAAACCACCTTAAACACAGAGCTACTGTCACATCAAATCAATACAATAATTGTGCTCAAGCAGTTGGAAGGCACGCTATGCTCAGCATCTTGTATACTAAACATAAATCAATCCCCAGCGCAATAAGCAAGTCTTATAATATATGAGCAGATTATGGTATATTAGCACATTTTGTATTGTATGACTGCTTTTCCCCATTCGCATTGAATACAAAGGAGAAACTTTGGGATACAAAAGTTGTTAGCAATCCCTTTTGTGCTTGTGAACTGCTGTTAATAAGAAAGTCCTAGGAATAAAGCGAGAGACTCTCAGGTCACAAACCCCAGAGCCAAACTTTGTTGCCTGAGTGAGAGCTGGTTTTCAGGCTGCTGGATGTGAGGGGCTTAAATGCTTTTTGTTAAATGTAGTAACAAATCAAAGTCTTACAGACTGAAATCTCTGATCTGAATGAATGGCTATCTGCAGGCTTGAGGAAAAAGGTCTTAGAGCAAATTCCCAGACTTCTGCCCTGACTTCATCAGTAACCCAAGGTTCGGTCGTGTTTTCACTTGACCCCTGCACGTGTCTCATGGGCATGAAGAGAGAGATGCTCTCCCAGATACAGACCGCTTTGCAGAGCTGCTGAGGGAAGCCCTTACAGTGATACAGCGTGACCAGGGAAGCAAAGGAGCCAGATGCTTCACTGCCCACAGGGTCTTCTTAAAAAGTGAGAAAATTTCTGCTTTTCCCCTCTGGCCATTCCTTCCCCATCCAGACATCTCCCAGCTCTCTCCTCCTATGAAGCTGTAAATAAACCTTACTGGCAAGGCCAAGATAAGGCTGGAAGGCTCCTCTTGGTGCTGGGAACCACTGGCTTTCACAGCAGTGCTGCCCTCTTACCGCTGATCCAAAGCCTGATTTCAATCCACAGCTTTATTCATGCTGCTTGTAAACACAGCTTTGCAAGTGCCAAGCATTTTCAGGTTTCAACTGCAGGTAGCTCCTGCCCTTCTTTTTGTCCTCTGTTCTTGCTAGACTCTTGCCCTCTGACTTACTTTTAGCCCCAGTGAATACAACTGGATAACTCCAGGCTTACTGGTGCGTATTGCTGCTGCAAGGAGGGACACAGAGGTTGGAGAGCAGTGGGCAGGCTTACTCTTTGCCCATATTTCTCACCACAGCCTTTGCTCTGAACTGCACCTTACAGTCACCAGGTTAGAGAAAGCCAAAAGAGCTGTCTCAGGAGAGCAGCTCCGCCTCACTCTCTGCCAGCCTTTGCAGCCAGGGAACTTGAAACTCATATAAAGGGTAATAAAAGGGAGATTATTGAAGTAGAGCTGGAGAAAAGCCCAAAGGAAGTTATTGTTCCATATGGAAGTCAATTCTTTTCTAGTGTTATCTGTTGCTGCCTTTCTCTTTGCATTAGTACTTTATTGCCCTGATCTGAGAAAAACAAAATCTTGCACCTTGGTATTAGCAAGCTGCTGATGCTGTGTATTTCCCATCCACAAAGCTTTCAAGTAATTTACCGAGGTGGCTGCAAACTGAGAAACTGAGGCATAAAAACCTTTAATAAGTTCCCCTGAAAGCCAAGGCAAAGAACCCAGGTGTTCAGAGGCTCCGGTGCGTGTTGCTGCCTGCGCCATTATCACCTCGCTGGCCAAGAGAGCCTTTCGGTTTCTGTTTGAAGCTTGTGCCAGGGGTTCCAGCTTGGGGAACTGCCATGGCACTGCTCTAAAAAAAGCAAGAAATACCAACCTGATGCAAATAGAGATTTATGGGGAGGGGATAAAAATCTTAGTGAGGAACTGAGATGCCCGCAGAACAAGCCCCAGAACGATTTGGCAGCCATCCCTGGGTTCTCATCTTCAGCCTGTTACCCTACTCACGTTTCTGGGGCTGTAGAGTGATAGAGCCAGTTCATCCAGATGATACCGGAGAGGTGATAAAAAGGAGTCACCAATTAGCTCCATCTGCAAGTGCTATGTAATCGGAAGCATACAGCCCTGCGGGGAAAAATATAGCAGGAGGTCAAACGCTGGCACTTTGGCAGGCTCAAGCAATAACTGTGTCAGCCCTCTCTCTCCAAGGCACTAAGCCTCCCACTGAAGTGTCATTTACCCTGTCAGCTCCTGGAGATGGGCTGAGAGAACGTGTCCTCACAGAGGTGGCCGGTGTCCTGTTTGGAAACGGCCAAGATCCCCTTTCCACTGGGATTGAATTGCAGGTGGCAGCGCCTGGGCTGGAACCTGAGCTGGGTTAGCCCCAGTTTGTAAAATTAGGCCACTCTTTGCTCTAGGCTGGGAAGGATGCCCAGGAAAGGGAGAAGGTGACACAGGACACATTTTGATCCAGGAGGGCTGGGAAGAGCCTGGCTATGTATGCTGAGTGATTCAAGCCACGTTCAGGTCAACATCTTAATCTCCTCCAAGTCAAAAAGCCAAGAAACAGCAAGAGGGGCAAATTTCAGCTGGGTTGGCTTCAATTAACATCTTCTTTATGAGTTGTGCTCCAATGGCAGATGCCATTCATTAGCGTTATTTACGCATTAGGAGAACTATAATTGGAGAGTAGCAAGTGTCCCCATCACAGCTGACCTTATTTATGGAGGAGCTAACATCTGAATGTCATATTTGCATCCATGAATTTTCTTCCCCCCCAATAACCACTCTAATATGCAAATACTGAGTTGCAAAAGACTGAAAATAAACTAAACAGCTCTTTTGGTTATTTCTGGGAGATTTGTGTTTGCTGTGGCTTTGGAGGCTGTGCTGAGATTAGACTCTGTCACCTAATCAGGAAGTAAGTGAGAAAGAAAGGCATTTCAGGTACAGGGGTGTGTGGATTGTGAATTGTAAATAGCTTGCAGTGCAGCCTAAAGGAAGAAGCAGGTATAAAGCATATTACAGGGCCATTTGCAACTCTTTGTTCAGGTATAACTGACACTCGCAGTCATTTCATTAAATATTCTGTTTATATGCTTTTCCATCCTGAATAAGGAGTTATCCTAGTCCCTGGAGTGAAGGAGGTTCACAAAATACCTGCATTCATGTGCTCAAAGCAAGGCATTAATGGAGCCATGTAAGTAAAAGGATATGAGGCATCAGCAGGGAGAGATTCAAGGGAACAAACTGTTCCCTGTTGCAATGCTGATTCTGCCAGGAGATGATGCAAAATGAAGAAAAATAAAAGCTTTTTGCCATGTTCTGGGTAGCAGACATGGAGGGAAAGGCTGCTGGTTGGGAGTTTGCTGGCTGAATAATTGCACATTGGAAAAGGTCAGTTCATGATAAGTCACAGACTTAAATCTTACATCTCAGACAGCTGTGGGAGTGCTCTGCTATGCCACGTTTTGTGGGCAGAGGGTCCTTTGCCATCACAGAAACAGGCCCATGGTCCAGCTGCTCTCCTATGGCTTAAACACGCGCTTTCCCATGCCTCTACCCCATGATCTTGGGGGATCAGGGAGATTCACTCAACACAGCTCGGATCGCCTCGGGCTCCCCATAAAACCAGTGGTGACAGATAAGTGCTTGTGGAGGGTAATTTGTATCCTAGGCAAGCTGAAGTGCCCTTTCTCTTTTCCATGATTATCTGGACAGGTGATAAGACTCCTAATTTGGTGCCTGGGGTAGCTGCCTAACTTTCATGGTATGAGCTGCTCTCTCGGGGTTTGCAGTTACATCTCCAGGGACACATGATAATACAACAAAAACAAACAGCCCAGGATTTTCCAGGCATTCTCAACATGGTAACTTTATAAAGAGAACACAAACCAACCTGTCCCAGATGGATAAACCCTGTCTGCATTTGCCTGCTCTGTTTTCCTTGCGTGTTAGGTCAGAATCTTTTTGAGTCCTGACAGTCTGCTTTACAAGTGTGGTTTCGTTAAATCACCACCTTCTTTGCCCCTTATGTGCACCTGCAAATCAGTTTCCTTTTATTCCAGCTGATCCCACAGCTAGGTTCTTTATGAAAACACAAACCTATTGCTTATTCCTGTTGCTTGGTAAGTTCTTCAAGTATGGAAGACCCCACTTTCAATTGCTTCTGACTTAGTGATCCTTCAAGGGAAATCCTAGTTAGACCCAGCTTTGCAGGGCAAGTGGAGAAGAGGACTAATTCTACTGCTTTTGAGAGTTAAATGTGTCTACTTGTTACTGAATCTTAATGACAATCCTCTACGGTGATGGGTTAGCAGGCACTGCCCTCCTTTGTGGAGTATAAAGGACTCAGCTCTGCAGCACACAACAATGAGCATTTGATACAGCCAATTGCTATTCAAAATCTGTATATAAAGAGATGACACAAATTATTGTACTACAAATGTCCCAACTAATATTTTGAGGATTAGCATTGAAATGGTTGGAATGCTTTTTTTCTAATGCTTTCTGAGGCTTTCTTTTTTTCAAAGTTGTAATAAATTTGCATTAAGAAGGTTAATTGCATGAAATGCCAGAATGCAAAACATCTCAACGTTGCTACATTTCATGACTTGCTGATCTGATGCTGACTCTTTCCCTCCGTGATACTGTTTATGTGAAATTGTCAGAAGTGTGACTTCAGAGGGAAAAAAATTATCTTTGGCACCTTTAATTGTGTGGGAAGTAGGAAAACACGTTGGCTGGTGGTCTGCAGGGCCAGATTTATGTGTATGGAAGAGTGCCAGGCACAGATTTATAGTTGTTGCTATAAGAGAAAAATCAGGCGCTGTCTAACACAGGGGTTTAATTCTCCCCCATCAAGTGATGTCAATGAGAACAGCATCTATCATGTGACAACAAAGAGTGGGGTGCTCATGTGGACTGAGTTTATCCTAAAAGGGATGGGAAGAGCATGAGTTGAGGTGGCTTATACAATGAAAAAAACTGCTGGTTTCACCATGTTAGTCACAGAGAGCTTATCTGCTTGGTTCAGAGAGGACCGAGTGGAGATGCTTTCAAGGCCTTGCTGGCAGAGTCATCCATGGAACTGAAACCTGTCAGCATGTGATAATTTGTGTTATTCTATATTTAGAGCAGCAAGTCACAGCAGCAGTTGTTCATGTCTGGTCTTTAAACTGTCAAGGAGAAAGCAAGGCTTCCTTAGATGGGACTGAAAGTCCTCAGACAATCTGCAGAATAGATTTCACTGCTTTATTTCACCCTGGTCAATAACAGCATTTATTCTGATGGTTAACACAAGGTGAGGTAAGGGTCTGTTGTAATTAACATCTTCATCTCACAGGTCCAGACCTCTTCGTGACACATCTTTTGCTCATCGATACAGAATTACACTTCCTCACCCCAGATGGATGGTCTTGGCTGGACACAGGCTGTTTTACTGGGAGCAGCCCTACTCATGGGCATCCCTCTGGGTACAGATCCCATGGCTCATTTCTGCATGGCCAAAACCTAAATTGCAGTAATGGTCTGCATTATTTCTAATTAAACTATTTTCTTCCAAATTACTTTCTTGACTAAATCTGCCTGGGATCCTGATGTTCTGCTTGAAAGTATATTTTTCAAGCCTGATTTTGACACCAGACTAAGATAGGACTGAAAAGGCTGGAAATACTGTATTAAATAAACCCTCTCCACATCCCACATTTCTATTGATCTCAGGTCAAAGTGTAACATTTCAACACCATTGAAACATTTAGTTCAGGTGTCAGCTCTTTAAAACAATATTCTTTTTTCTTTTAACAAAAGAAACATCCATTTTCTTTTCAAAAGCATGTTTTGAGCAACAACATGACAGCTTTCAATTCCAAGGCTGTTACAAGTGGGACACACCGATATTATCTGGTTTGGCTTTTGCAGAATGAAATCTGATGACAATCAGGAAACTGTCATGATGAAAACAACTTTCTGCAAACCTCTCCCTGTCCCCCAGCAATCTGGCAAATATATTCTCCCATTACATCCCTCCCAACTGTGCTCCTTGCTGGGGTTTTTCTTGCCTGTCAATCAAAGTGAGTTTGAGCTCTGCAGCCTGGCTAATCCTTGGCTTCTTTGCTTGGATCAGCTGTGTTGCAGACCTTCTGTGCTATGTATACCTGTCCTCCAAATAGAGGCCTGAGACAACCAACGCATTTTCCATGAGTCATGGAGCAGCCACCAGATAGCAGTGCTATTCCATTTGTGCAGGCTGAGGTTATTGCGGTGTCCCAGCTTTATCTGGCACCTCTGTCGCGCTCTCAATGCTAATCCATCCATTTCTTCTGTTTCTGCAATCTTTTCAAATAGCAGAAACACATGAAAGTAGGAAGAAAATGGAAATTCTGCCTCTATTATGTCTGCCATAAAATGTGAATTTAAAACTATTCACAGACGAGTAAAAAGTAATCATTCCAGCATTGGGTAACTGCTGAAAATGATGAGTCACAACAAGGGATCCTAATTTATCTGTTTTCTGTTTGTTTCAGTGGCAGGTGAAGGTGGGTTGATTTAATTTTTTTTTTTAAAGACAGTGAGACAAGTGTTGATTTGACAGTTTAGTCATCAAAGTAATTCCACTTACAGAGCTGCAGGACTCCAGAGAAACATATTCACCAGCTGGAATTAACATCCTGCATGCAGCACTCTAAAAGCTTTGCAGATTTCCTCCATAGCATACAACAAAATGTTATTTTGTACGGAGGCTTCTATAGAAACTGGATTGAAAAGTATTTCTTTTTTAGAATGAAATGAGGCAAAGCAGTCATAATGACATTGCCTGGTGAATAAATTTCAGCCAGAGAACTCATAGCAGAGGGTGAGCCGAATTAACAGGTAGATGTAAGGAGAACAGGAGAAATTAGCTCTAAACTCACTGTTGAAAAGAAATGGACAGCTGTAGAGGCAGGGAGAGAAGATCCTGATCCTTCCAGGTGGAAGGAGCTTCCCCAGAGAGCATCACAGCTCCTGCTCTGAAAGCAGAAGAGTGTATGTGGGCTCAAGGAGAAGAAACCACCCCTGACGAGGTTGGCACAACAAGTTCCTGCACACTAAGAGACCATATTTTTATGCAAAGCCTGTCAAAATGCGTTTTGTGCTGGCTCACAGATTCCCTAGAAATGCTTCTTGCCCCAGTGAATCCCGTGACAGCTTCGCAGTAATGGTGTGGAAGGGAACGTGCTACGAGATGCCAAGGGCCAATTTCCAAAGTTGCTGGCATCTAATTTATGAGTGTGGAGTGTGCTCACCCAGGATTTCACTGATTCATTGGCTATCAGGGCTAACTAGGC